TTTTTTTAAAATTTTTTTTAAAATTTTTGTTCCTTTGATTTACAAGAGAATCAGGTACAAGCCATAAAGTGTGTAAGGGTGGTGTAATGGAGCAACAGGAGCAGTGTGAGGACACAGGGTGAGAAGTAAACTTCATTAACTGGTGCAAGGTCCGTACCACCGGTTAAAAGTGAAAATTAAACATTTACAACGCTGTTATATCTTGTATTTCTTTTCTTAAATTCACTCCTTCAAACTTAAGAACCGCAGGTGAAAGAAATGGCAGCTATACATACCTGTGTTTTAAAATATGAGACTGCAACAAACGCGAGGTTTGCCTATTGTTTTCAGAGAGAGAGAGAGAGAGAGAGCTCTGTGGAGGTTGCTGTTTTGTTTGGAGGTTAGATTTCCTGTCGGGCCAAAGTATTGCCTCGGGGCCGGAGTGTGCTGTTGTGTTTCTGTGGACAGAGAAAGAAGGGCACGATTGGTTCGGCATTTGTTTTCTCTGTGCGAAACGAGGCGCTTTGCTGGGACCAGTTACAGGAAGAAGAAAGAGGAGAGGGAAGAGATTCTCAGAAAGAACGATCACTTCTTGTTCCGCGGACCTAACGCAGGGTTTGTGGTGGATTTATAAGTGAAAGATTGCTTTTTTTGCAYCCTTACAGTATATGGAATGGATCCAGTGGAATAATTTAGTGTTTTTTGTTTATTTGGAGGATATTMTTCCAACATAATACCTACATGCATAATTTTGACCTTCCATTGTTTAAAAGGACAATGTAATCTGAATAGAAKGGTACTCAAATATCAGAAATTTAGATTATTTAGATTTACATAAAATATATTAAATGTGTTACAGTGGGTTATTGTTATTTTGGCACAAGTGTTTGTAAAAAAATAAATATTGTAGTTATTGATGCTGATGCAGCTGCTTTCTTTCTGCACGAGCTACTGGTCCAACACCTGAGTGTGGCTCTTGTTCCTGACTGGAAGATTAGCTGTTAATGCTGACATGGACAAAACTGAAGGTGGGGGTGGAGGAGGTAGACCGTACGGGGAGTGGGGGTGGGGGTGGGCAGCTCCTGTGCTGTAATTAGTATGGATCTGAAAAGCAACTAATCGGATTGGAGGAACCAAACTGGATTGGGCTTCAGAGGTCCGTGCYTGGCCTCAGATCTGTGGAAAAACCTGACGCGTGTGACGCGGGGCAGCCTTGATGATGCTGCATCTGCACAACCTCCTCACTTCCGGGGTTGGGGATAGGTTTGGGTCGGAGGTCCTCATTAGTGCYCTTCGTTAACTAATTACCGTGCCGTTGTTCATCTGTGCAGGTCGACCCTGCTGGCCCGAGCCCAAACCAAGTCTCTTGCCTCACTCTGTGTYGCTAGTATCGACATGCCAAGTCCTTTTCTGTCTCTGCTCGTGTTTAAAGCTTTTTGTTGAGCTTTTATTGATTACGCTGCCATAATGGGGGCAGCCTGTGGTGCCTTTTTATTAGTGTGGGTGTTTGCCATTTAGTCACACAAATGTCTTGGCAGGCCAATGAGTGTCAGAGCTTTAACATGTCTGCAGTTGAGCTTATTTAGAAGAGACACYTCACTATTTTGGTATAGGTCTGTGTTGTTGCTAGTTTAATTACACACATATGTCGTTGTGTAGATGTGATGCTTTATTTGGATACGGTGTGGATGTATGTGAGCTTGAGAGGAGTAGGGCAGTAGCCCCGGTTCCTCTGTGGGCCCATCTGTTTTGTACTCTTTGTCCTGTTAATTAATGAAATCAGAGGGGCTGCCTGCTGGGACGGCCCCACTGCTCTGCTACGACTGGACAGGCCCACTTTCTCATAGGCTGTCTCTTGTTTTCTAAATGGATCCCCTTTTTTTCCCTCCCCTGTGCTTTTACTCTGCCAAAGTTCAGCTCTCTCGAAGTGGAGTCCTGTGGAAATGTTTGAACAATTAATATCCTACCTGTTGTAGATGTTTTTTTTAATTGCCTCAGTTTGAAAAAAAATGGGTTTATTACTGCTAATGGCTAACCCAAAGCGGGATTCTGCTTTTGCAAAACAACCTGCTGTATTATCGTCAAAGGTTTGCTGTAAGACAATAAACTACAAACTGATGGCAGTGTAAAGGTTTATAAAATAATTTTTGGACAAACTGATGTAAAGATTTGAGAATAATAACAGGTAAGATGATATCCATTCACAATATTTTCTCAACACCTCACTGTAAAAGCTCTGAACTTTCCCTTTAACCTCCACTCTGGTCTCAGTCGATTTGACTTTCTTCTGTAATTTTGATTCATATTTTTGTTTTCCAGTTTGTAACTCTGGTGGATGCTCCGRGCCAAGCGAGGTGACTATTAGCTGTAGATTAGCGTAGCGCTGGGAAAGCTAAACCACTAAAATCATAATTTAGGCTCTGCTGTCACTTTGCTGCGTAGACTGAGCGGAGATTGGATGTCATGAAGCAGGATGTTTAGTCAGACCATTTCACAAACACTCGGTTGTAACTCTTCTCTGTCAGGCTCAGAGCGGCAACTTGTCCCCCTCAACTCTTCCTAGTATTTTTCTCGCGAGTAGCAACATTTTCACCTTGGCCAACGTGAAATATCAAGCCTCTGAAGAGCTATTTCTGAGTGTTGGAAACAGTGACCTGGCTAAGTTATTTCACCTTTTGCTTTGTGGCCTTCTGTCCTCCCTGAGGCTAATCTGCCACTCTGATGGATGCTTTAGCTTTCATTTATCATTGCTGCCTCTGAGAACAGCTAGATGTAGAAATTAGAATATTTTACATCTTTTTTTCTTTCTGATGTTTGATTTTTTTTAACAGCATGGCATGATTAGCCATAGTAGCGCTACTACAGATTTCACATTAACCTATTTTAGTTGATAACATCTTTATTAATGGTGTTTTTTTAAGTACTTGTCTTAGCACAGCATCTAAGCTCTACTGCTAGTGTTTTAGTCAAATCAGAAGACATGTTAAATAAAATGTAAACAAGTAATATCTTGTACATGTACATCAACATGACCAAACATGGACCCTTTTAAAGAAAATTCAAATTTTAAACCACCACATGGGACTAAATGTACCAAAAACAAGCTGATAATGGTGTTTGTGTTTTATTCGTTTTTGTTACTGTTTACATGGCTGAGGTTTTGTGACGATTGCCATCACTGTCAGCTTGTAGTCCGTCTCTACTGCTCAGTCGCCTCAGGCGTCTCCGGACCTCCAGTCATGTTCAACAGTTTAAAGGCAGGTGGGCTGACCAGAACACCAGAGGCTMGTACCTCTCAGGACATAACAGTAGGGCTGTGTATTGGCAAGAATTTGGCGATACGATACATATCATAACAGAGGGGTCACGATACGATATATCCCGATAAATTGCGATACTGTAAGCAAGGTGATATATTGAGATATATTGCGATTTTTTTGTCCAAAAATTATATTAAATAAAAACCTCTTACTGAAAACAAAAAAAGAAAAGCTAATGTTTACTTACAATGCTAATGCTACCCTTACTCTCTGGCGCTCAAGAGGTAGAGGAGCCAAATGGCTGGCTCACTGCTGCCAACTAGTGGTCAGAGGCTGAACTACGACAAAAAATGAATGGCTGGCAGGAAAGTTGACATTTTAAACCTTAATTAAAAATCGATACAGGGCTTTAGAATATCAATACAGTATCGGGAAATGAAATATCGCGATATTTCAGTGTATCGATATTTTCTTACACCCCTACTTAACAGCTTAAATAAAACCAAGGAACCTGCTGCCAACTTTGCACCAGAATAAATACATGATCACTACTGTCTTTTTTATTTATTTGAGCGTAAGGAAATATTGATGCACTGAAATATCTCAATATTTGCTTTCCCGATACTGTAAAATGCCAGTGGTTCATTTTTGTGTTGCAATATTTTTATTAAAAATCTAAAAGCTGCCTCAAATGTATTATAAAACTATTAAATGGCACATTTGACCTAACCATTGAAGACACGGTTCAAATAAGAAATATGAAACATATAAATTCGTATATAAAACATTGAATTTGTTTTTTATTATTGGAATTTTTGGAGAAAAAAAGTGCAGTATATCATATTGTGACCCGTGTCCTGATATGTATCATATCACTAAAATCTTGCTAATACACACCCCTGCTTTTTTGTATTTATGTCTATTTTTTATATATTTTTTGTATGTATGGATCTTGCAATTTGCATTAGTAAAACATCAAATACGCCACATGTTTTGGGTCCTGTTCATGAACAAAAGGCAGTAAGTCAAACCTTAATTGTTAGACTTGTCCCAGTTAGAGCAGCTTCTTTAAGAAATGCTGTGCTGCCAGCTTTAGTCACACTGCTACGTTGCTGCTCTCTTGTTGCTGTTAGTCGCTTTGTGTGTCCTTGTCACCTTTGTCTTTGTGTTCGGACCAGCTGGAGGTGACACGACTCTTCTCATCTTTGCGTCCCACTTCAGGGTGTGAAGTCCTTCTGTAATTCCTTCCAAGGGCGCTGCAGCTGCATCGTAGTTACACGGCGTTGTGCTTTCAAAGGCAGTGTTAAATTTGAGGCACTTAAAGACCCCTCATAGGATATATTTTCCAGTCCATTTGTCATCACAAGCAAGCAATTACCGCTGATAGAAGATGGGAGGATTTCTTCTTTTATATTGAATGACGTCCTCTTTAGTAATGTTCATATTGTCCACATTATATGTAATTAAGTTTGGCTTTTTGATAGGCTCTTTTTAGATGCAAATAGCAGTTCAATATGTCCTATAGAGGCTGTGTGAGACCCAGGAGGCTTTGCTTCACACATCCAATTATTACAACATAGATGGAAACTCTTAAGACTATAAGACACTACAAGGTCCTGTGACCTAAAATCGTCTCTCTTGTTAGCTTGAGTGTGAATAACACAAGATTCCACACAAATTTAAAATGCCAAGCTGGGCTTTGCATATTTAGCATTATTAAAGGCCAGCTCATTCAAAACTCATTTATTTCTAATTTTATCTGTAACCTTGACCACTGCTGAGACATTCCAGCGGGAAGAAATGTGGATAGAGTCAAATCTGACTAATCCAAAATGGGGGGTTGTCAGGATTTGTGAGATTTAGAGAAAAAAAAAAAAGGAAAAATACACACCCATCTTAAATGTATTCAGAATATTAAGCGCTTATTTTAGATTCCTGGCCGCCCTGTTCCGTCTAGTTTGTGTCTGAGATGTGTTTAGTTGCGTCTCGTAGATTTCAGAGAAAGTATGTGCTGCTGTCTCGCTGTGAAATTTGGTGCTTTTGCCCGTCTGTTTGGGCTGTTGTGTTTGGTTCTGGGAGGGCTCGCAAAAATAAGTGTCTGCTATACATATTCACAGATTAGCATATGCTCTTRTATTTCTGGACTTTGGCAGTTCTTCACACACGCTTTTATTAAAATTTTAAATTATTCGTTAAATATATGAACCACTCTTCCAAGCTAAGACAGACTTTTTAATCAAGCTGAAGGGAATATAAAGGTTTTGAAAGGACTTGAACACTAAATTTTTGACACATTTTATGTGTAAAATTGAGATATTAAGAGATTTTTACACTGCTCTTTTGCTTCTAAGCTCTTTATTAATTTTAATTTAGTTTTTTTTTTGTTTTAATGGGTTGTAACACAGTGGGAGGTAATGAGACCTTAAAATAAATTATATAACCAGAAATAAACCCCAGAAAGGAAATATTATCAGTTCAATTGTTTATGCTAAATGTAAACAAATCAGTAATTTCCTAAATTTATGTTTGTTTTTCCTCCTTTTATAACCCCTTTAAATCTCTCTTCCTCCTTTTATAACCCCTTTAAATCTCTCTCTTGCAGATTGACCCAAAGGTGGCGTTTCCCAGACGAGCTCAGCCTAAGGTGAGTGCACCCACAAGGGGTTAACAGCGAGGTGATGATGTCATACCCCCCCCCCCCAGTCCTTCAGCTCTGATTGGCTGGGTTAAGAGTCGGGTGCGTGACCCAAACAGAGCTGCAATTCATTTGTTCGGCCTGAGATTGTGACCCTGGTTTCTGCTCCCTGACCCCTGTGCTGCCCACTGAAATCACACACTACCCACAGACAATATCTCCTGCACACAGACACACACATTAACCCAACTTAAAATCAGAGGCTTGAGCTTCAAATGAGCCTCTAGTCTCAATAAAGCAACACAGAATCTCTTATCACATATTTAATGTTTTGTCCTCTCCTTTTCCTTGTGTTGTTAGCTGGTGACGAGGACAAAGAAGATCTTTGTCGGAGGGCTGTCGGTCAATACCACCATCGAAGATGTGAAGCAATACTTTGATCAGTTTGGAAAGGTAAGCCTGCGGCTGTCTTAATGAGGTGTGTTCGAACATTTGTTTGGGATGTTTCTGCTGATGCCAAGTCATTTAAGTTTAAGATGAATTATTTTCATAACAAACTGTGTTGGTGATTAGTTGCTTTTAATTATTTATTTTTTATATATTTAAGGAAAACTATTTGTACTGATTTCCATTATTGTTTGCGAATGATCTACCAGTAATCAGTTTTAGCTTTTCGCTGTTKGTTTTGGCAATTAGCCTGAAGTTATTGTAGCTAGGTTAGATTTTTTTATGTGAAAGCTGTATGTTAAATTTGGATAGTTTTGAAGTGTTCAGACTTCATTACCTGTCATGGATAAGTTTTAAACAACCTCAGTTTGAAGAACCAGACTTGAATCTGACCAGATCGATGAGCTAATAGGTAACGTGACCAGGCCAAAGTGGATTGCTGTGGTTTAAAACAACGCAAATTAAAAAAGGTTTTAAGGGTTCATGCAAATACTATTTCACGAGTCTTTACATGGCCACTAATTTACAGATAATGGTTATAGCAAAGAGTGGCAGCAACAGATTTTTTTTAAATGAATATATGAAAGCTATTAAAATTTTGTGATTTGAGTCGTTTAAAGATGGCACCAAACCACTTTGATCATAGCTCAGTCAGACTAGCTTGTCAATCTGTTCGATCTTAAAAGTGAGTTTCTCCAAACTAAAGTTGCACAAAATACTATCTGCAACAGGTAAGATCATTATTGTATGTAAACCTCCCACAGAAACTCACTTCAAAAAGCCATGAACTATTCCTTTAATGGCTTTTTCACAATTTTTATTAACCAATGCTTCTGTTGTTGCTTGTTAGCTACTTGTAAGACTCTTACTGGTAACTTGTGATGTTGTGGTGTTATAGCTGACTCAGTGTTGATGTTGAAAAAAATAAATCCTCATTTTGGTTTTTATCAAATTGCTGGAGCTCGCTCTCATTTTGTGTGTGTGTGTGTGTGTTTGTGTGTGCACCCTTTTGGATGTTAAACTTCACCCTGAGGAGCTGAAGCATGGAATCACAACACAACACCAATGATAGATTATATTAATCTGAACCCCCCTGTCCTTTGTGTGTGCCGATAAAACTTTTCTTTGTACATTTTGCAACAAAAAACAGTCATGTTTTTTTTTTCTCATCTAGAAAGTGAAGAAGTAAAAAAAAACTGATAATAAAAGTGAGGAAGGATAAGAAACAGAACAAAAAGTGTAAAAATAGTCATTGGTTGTTGCTGTGTACTCATTTTTACCTAAATTGTGGCGTTTTCAGCTTGGTTGTTTGTCCTTCTGTTGCTGCTTTGAATAAAATTTGGTGAAAGGCACAAGTGCAGGCTGTGGAGACAGATGAGTGGCCAGGGGAGAGGGAGGAAGAACAAAAAAAATAAAAGAAGGAGGGGAAGCAAAGGGAGAGATGGACTGAAAGGGAAGAAGTAACCCCCATGGAGAGAAGGGGAGGGGCTCTCAGGAGGTTGAAGGGCAGAGAAAAGGGTGGGGCGCTGAAATYGTGAGGAGCAAAAGTGACGATTAAAGGGCGAAACATCACAGAATAMTTCAAAACTGTCTACGGCGAGTGATATATTGAGTTATTTTTAGGAAGCTACTCAATTTGGAGTATTTCTGAGTAACATTCAAGCTCTTTARTATTAACTAATTAAATGCAACAGCTGCTCCAGTAACAGCCCCTCCTTCTTACCCCAAAATCAGTACTTCAGACACCATCCCAGTCCATGCACAGACCCTCGCTGCTTGTTGCCGTGGTGACTCGCCTTTCCCCATTGTCCTGCTGTAATCCAGTGTATTTTTGTTTCCTTTAACAAAAAAAAAGTGCAATAAGTGCACATTTGCATGAATGGAAAGACGGGTGTGTGCACGCATGAAAGTGTGAGTGTCACCGTCGTGGCTGCGGAGGGAGGCGAGCTCGCAAACATCGGTGGGAGCACGCTCAGACAGCCGGGCTCGCTGGCCGTGATTCACATGTCACAAACGTTACAGTGTGGTGGAGGTGGGGGCGCCGCCGGTGAGCAGGACGGCCTGGAAACGAGCACTGTGTGGTGGTGGGGGGGTCTAATGGGTTGGAAGAAATGAACAGCATGAAGCTGTCCTCTGTGTTGCATCTGGCTGAGCGCTCTCCCTGTTGGCCTCTGATTCAGGCCTGTCGTTCCGCCGACATTTCAGGTGCCGGTTCAAACCTAAACGTCCTCCTCCTCATCAGTCGTGGACAAATGAGGTTTCCACCTATGACTATTCAGGTAGACGTTGTGACACGATTCCCGTTTTTAAAAAACGAGCGTGCTTTCTAAAATGGCAGTTTCTGTGACTGTATCAGTCCTCCCTGGTGACTGCAGACTCTCATAAGTGAGAACAACACTCCCCGCACAGGATGAGCGAATATTTGGGCTGTTTGGACACGTGAGACCAAAGCTGTGTCGRGGATAGCCAGCAATCCCACAGTGCATTCCTGCTGAGCAGGAGGTATTTCTTGTTTATTATCTGAGCCTGGCTACAAGGTGCAGGCTTGGATGGACCGAGGCTCAGCCTTGTGCTTGTTTTCATACTGTGGCTCCACCTTGCAAGGAAAACACCGAGTGCACTATGGACTTTATGCGACTCTTTGATTCATGCTGAAGTCCTGTTTTTTTTTAAATATACATCACAAACACACGCAAAGTTCATACGACTGGGTGGCAGGTGTTTTTGGAGTTAGAGTTTTCTGACTGAACAGATCTGAGCTCTTGTTTTTCAGTGTCTCCAGGCCAGTAAGGCTGCAGCAATCATGTTTGCTTGAGAAATAAGCTTCAATCCTAAGGTGGAGGTCTTGAATCCCCCCCTCCCACCCCCTCAGCCTGCTGGAAAGTTGACAACACTCTCCTTTTTGGCCAAGGCTGAAAATAGAACCTGTCTGCGTCACGAAAAAGTGTTTTTTTTAACGCTGGTATTCAGGCGTTGGGTTAAATAATACGATGATTAGTATTTCAAGCCTGTTGGTTTTACATCCTTGTTTTTTTAATGCCTTTTTATTCACCTTGTAAGAAAAACTGTGATTTAAACCCCCTCCTTATGTTGCTGCCTGAAATAAAATGAAAGGAGTGGATGAGAAGGGGGGAAAAATGCAGCACGGAGTGGGGCAGACGGGAAAAGTTGGGACTCCACTCACCCATGTGAGCTGGCGATTAGAAGGCTTGACTGAACACTTTGTCTGCTGGCCTGTTTAGAAAGAGACGGCCGGAGAGAGCCAGAGCGAAAATGAAAGAGGGAGATGTGAGGAGACAGCAGTGGGGGGAAAAATGTGAATGCCACCTTTCATAATCTCTCAAAAAAGTGTAATGGACTTGTCAGCAAACACTTGTTCTTCAGACAATAGATGTACGCTTCAGTGAGAACGGGACATTTCTAAGGCCCGCGCGGGGAAAAGGATCTGAGTGGAGCCTTGTTTCGGTACATCTGAGAATGTCAGAACTGGAGAATATGACCTTCTTCACTCCCRGCATGCATCCAGAGCAGTTAGCGCCGGAGCCGCTGCTATGCCAATCTCAGACTCCCACAGCCATCCGATCAGATTGTTTTACAGCACCCCGGGCAGCCGACATCGTGAGAAAGTCTTTCTTATTAGCTTTAGGAAAAATCAGAGACCTCAGCCGAGGCTCGCACACGTGGACAGGATTGTTTGCATGAATGCAAACTGCTGTATTTTCATGCAGGTCACTTAGCTGAACAGCATCAGTCTTTTTTTTTATAAACATCAGATTTTATTCAGAATTCACTCTCTTGTTTTTCTATTTTGTTTTTATTTTCTGTACATAGCAGTATATATTTTTTACATTCTATCTATTTTTGCACACATTATGCTATTTAACCATTGACAGCAAAACGTTCAACTCATCCAGTAAATGACTTTTAGTTTCATAAATTTTATGCTTTTCAAAATATTTAACTTTATGTACGTGATTTAAGAAATATTTTTTATTGATTGTATTATTATACTTTTAGCTTTTGACAAGCTTTTTGCTACATTTAGCCAGACTTTTGTTACTTTTAAATTTAAGCTAACCTTTAAGCTTCTTGTCACCATTTTGTTGCAGTTGCCTTTTTAGCTTTTAGCTTTATTCACTAATTTCTTCAGCAAAGTCATTCAGCACTCAGTCATCACACTTATTTGTTTACGTAAAATTCAATTTCTATAGTTTTTTTATATATATAACAGCTTAAAATCTTGTTTTTGCCATCTGTTAAATAGACGCTTGCCAACGCTAAGTGCAGGTGTGCTTGTGTGTAACTCTACTCTAATGATAACATGTTAGCTTGCAGCTGTCTACCTAGTGTCCTCTTGTCTTGCTGCTGTGCTGTGTCATTGAGTTTGACCAA